CAGTAAGAGCTGCATAACGATCATCGAAGTACTCCCTCATAGCGGACTTAATAGTCCCAAAGAACTCCGGGATCTGACACCAGACATTCTCGACCACCTCCTCGCGGATGATCTCCCTGACCCGATCCTCTGTCAACATTGGCCCCTCCTGGCCGATAATCTCAGGTGCTACTGGGGCCTCCTGCTCACCCTGTCCTGATCCCGATCTGGATCCAGTCACGACACGTCTCGCATCCGCCATAATGAAACGAACCATAAGAACCTCAGATACCTCGCATAACCGCCGAGAACTAACCTCTAACCAACAACCTAGGGGCTATGACTTCCTTGACACGCGTATGGGTCCTGTGCATTCAGTAGTACGGGCCCATACTGCCTTCCACACCTACCCATATTTGTCTCAAGTATCACCACAACGCCCTAAGCACAAACATACATTACAAGCACTCCATCCTCACCCCTAGAGAAATACTGAATATCCTATAACAAGAAACCCTAAGCTAGCAGGCATCATAAATCAGGCAATTCTATCATGCAATTCCTGAAGATCCCTAGCCTAGTACTAGCATGTTGTTCTATCATATCACATAAACAAATAACTTGTATGGTATTTTGGGGTTACTTACTGGCTCTGGCTGAACGTACCCTCTGCATCCTCCTTTACTTATTTCGAAAACCTTTTGAAAACCATTTTGAAAATCCCTCCTTGATTTGAGCTGGATTCACACGAATGTTCCTCCAATTCACTCAAACCAAGGCTCTGATACCAACTTGTAACACCCATAAAATTGAGCCAATTTAAAACATTTTAATTCATTAAAAAACCATTAAGTTCATACATCTCGTTTTCAAAATAGTTTAGACATCAGAGTATCCCCCAGAACCATATCACATAAATCATAAAACATGAGGAGCGGTACGATCACACCTTCGCCTTGTCACGATCTCCTGAAGTACCTGAAACAATACAATGAAACTGTAAGCCCGAAAGCTTAGTGAGTTACCCCCAAAATACCAACCACATAACCATACACATATCATATCACAATACAGAACAACCATGCACATCGGGTCTACTGTGTGACTGGTCCGCCCGCACCGGGCCTTCAGTCCACCTGGTCCACCCTCCGAGTCTAGCCATGTACATCGAGTCTATAGTGTGATTGGTCCGCCCGCACCGGGCCTTCAATCCACCTGGTCCACTCTCTGAGTCTACAGTATGACTGGTCCGCCCACACCGGGCCTTCAGTCGGCCTGGTCCACTCTCCGAGCCTCGGCACGTCTGGTCCGCCTTCTTGGGGCCTTCAGCCTATCTGGACCGCTCGTTGGGCCTTCGGAATATCCGGTCCGCCCTGTGTATGTTGGCCTACAGCACAAAGCAGGACCCGCCTCAACCCAACCCCCGTCAAACAACCATGTGCACATAAAACAATTAATCACATAACAGATCCTTAACCAGACAAACAGTCTAACAGATCACATAGCATATCAACATCCTAACCAGGATTCCGACCTAACCGATCACTAACATAACATTACCCTATATTCCGGGTACCGACCTTAACCAGGTCACTAACATAACATTACCCTATATTCCGGGTACCGACCTTAACCAGGTCACTAACATAACACCATCCTAAATACCAGGATGCAGATCTAGCAAGGTAATAACATAACAAACAATACCCGGATTTCCATCCGATAAAGGGCCGGCCTTGGTGCCGTAGACCCTCTGATATAGTGAGGATAACTCACCTGCAATTGCCGACTGAAGAGATACGACCAAGTTGCTCCGACCACCGACACGAACTTCACCACATCACACTACCAAAGGACCAAAACCAAAATTACCAAAATACCCTTGGAAGTCAAACTGGTCAACTCTTGGTCAAAGTCAAAGTCCTCAGTCAAAGTCAACTTCCTGACTCACCCTACTCGCCGAGTCAACCCGTTGACTCGTCGAGTCCTTATACTCTGAAAACTCTTAGAACACGACTCCATTCGCCGAGTCACCCCAAGACTCGTCGAGTCCAACGACCTCTGAGTCCCATCCTGTCCAACTCACTGAGTCACCCTCGACTCACTGATCTGCGTCTTAACCAGAAGAGGTTAGGGTTCCGCGACCAGACTCGTCGAGTCCAAGAACAGACTCGTCGAGTCCAAGGCAATCTTCAACAGACTCGCCGAGTTGTTCTTCCAACTCGCCGAGTGCATGCACATATACATACAACTTGTCGAGTACACCCATGTGACTCGCCGAGTCTCTCGAGTTCTCAATCCATACAATGGCTTTTCGAGCCATGCAGGGGCTCCAATCCATAGATCCACTCTTCTATAGCCTAACCCTCACATAAAGTTGCAAACTTTACGTGAAACGAAGGAGATATAAGCCCAAAACACTCTAGGGCTAGGGTTTATGACAAAGGGGCTTCACCAATAACTCTTAGACAGGAGCTTTATGACATTAAGGACCATCACAAGCCTAGATCTGAAGTAGCAACCTCAGATCCAAACTCCAAACCCGAAATAGATCTCAAACAAGCAAAGGAACTCCAAATCAACCACCAAGGATGAACCAAATAGCTTAAGATAATGGCTCCTTACCTCTGAGATATGCCCAAACTGATGTAGATTCCAGATCTACACAAGCCCCTTGATGCTAGCCTCCAATTTCTCAAGCTCCTTCCACCAAATTCCTCTTCCAAGCTCCAATCTCCTCAACAATGAAGTCTCGCACGAAATTAGGGTTTTCTGGAACTCTTTGGGGGAATAGGAGGCTGGGAGGAGGACATAAAGTCCTTTAAATAGGGTGCAACCCTCGGGATTAGGGTTTCCTCATTCCAGCACCAACTCGTCGAGTACGTCTTCCGAGTCGACGAGTTGGCCACTTAATCTCGCGATCAATCCCGCTTCGACTCGACGAGTAGCATACCTACTCGTCGAGTAGCTTCCTTAATTTACACTTAGCACCCTTCAACTTCTTGCTTCCGAACTTGGGATGTTACAAAGGTGCTCTAGAGTGTTGATCCAAAATGGAAACCTCATCATCATCCTTTTGTTCACATTCTAGACCTTTGTAAGTGTAAGTGTCCAATATTAAAACTTTATGCTTCTAGGTTGCTAGATCTAAGTCCTTGTCCCTTTATCTTCAAGTTTGAGCAAGTTGAAGTGATGGGATTCAATAAATTTAGCAACTTTATGGATCCTTGAAGCCTTTTGAGTGTTATTTGGTCCAAATCTGGGATTCGGTTGTGAATTGGGAATCTTGCATGAGTTTTGAGTCATTTTCTTGGCCTTTGGCCTAGATTGGATAGAGGACATGCATGGAGCATGCATGTCCATAAAGTTGTAATCTTTATGGACCTTTGGAGTCCCCTAAAGCTTCTAGAAAAGTTAGAGTTGATGAATTATTGGATTAAGGACTCAAACCATTAGGATTTTGCTTCATGCAGTGGTCACGTCGTGACCAGGAGAGTGTCACGATGTGACGATGGAGGATTCCTCAATTAATTTGTCTGGATGTGCTCATGATGTAACTCAGGAAGGCTCACGTCGTGATGTCAGTTGTTGGGTTGTCCGTGACTTAGTTAGCTGAGTTGGAATCTGGTTGAGTGCATTCTCACGACATGACCAAGGTTGGTCACAACGTGAGGGTCAACTGCTAGTTGTTGAATTTGTTGAATCATGAAAAGTGAACCTCTAGCAATCACTCAAGATCCAAAGTCAGCTGAGTTTGAGATAAGTCCAAGATGAGTAGATGTTCCGAGATAAGAAGATCATTCCGAGATGTAGTGCAATTCCGAGATTAGGTGTATGTTCAAACAATTAATGTTTTTTTGTCTTATTTATGATGTAACATTTCATAGGACTTTTCCTGATGTATCTTACGGATAACAGTTTGTCAAACACTTTGTATTATCCAGTCCTAAGAATGTTTCTCGGTTTGTACTGCGTACCTCCTTTGATTATAAAAGGAGTGATTGTCTCTTCATTTAATAGTAATCAGTGTTGGATTAGTGTCTAAGTCCATAACTATAATTGATATATATACTTGACCCGACCCGGCATGGTCCATTTGGGTTGCATGGCATCGGAACATTTGGGTAGACCATTTGTGAGAAGAGGATATTTATGACATATTAATATATTATAAGTTCTAATATATTAATATGAAATCATATTATTTAATTCTTATATATATATATATATATATATATATATATATATATATATATATATATTAAAGATGACCATCTTTATGAATAATGAACATCCTGATTTTTTGGAAAAATTGGTCCATAAGTTTTCATATTTGTAGTGGTTCAGATTTTTGGCACTAAAGTTTGTGATATTGGCAATTTGGTCCCTTAAATTATTAACGGTGGTGTAAAGATAAGGATGGGGCTGATACGTGTCGTTCCCACGTCTCCCCCCATCGGTTCTGCCTTATCTTCCCCCCCCCCCCCCCCACCCGCTTTCTCATCCAGTCATTTTGTAGGTTTTCTGTTCTGATTTCTAACCTTCTATTCTTTGGCTCCACCCGTTTCTTTTGTTTTGGTCGGCCAATAGGGAAGACGAACACAAGACAGAAGTAAGGGAAAACAGAAATCGGGGGTAAACCACGGTGTAACCGCTTCATCGATCTTTAGAACCAATTGAGAACCGACATCGCCACTGTCTGCTTGCATCACCGATCTCCGCCATCTGCAACCATCGTCATGTCGTCCTCGCTGCCTTGGCATTAAATCGAGCACTTAAATCACAGAAGCCTCACCGACGGTACATATTTTCTTCCCTTGCTTTACCTCAACCACTTCCCTTTTATTATAATTGCAATTGGAACCGATTCATGTTATATTTCAAAATTTGAACTTCATATTCATGGAATTGAAATCTGTAGGTGGGTGCTTATGGTAAAAGAAAGGGAGAGAGAGGTATTGAGCAGCAGAATCTGTTCAATGGATGGTGGTATATCTATCGCTTCTTTAACAGATGTTTCTCGATCCTTTTGATAAGAAATCCAGCCAGTCTTCTTCACCGCCTTCTGTATTTGGGATTTTTTGGTCACCCTCTCCATGAAATTTTTTGTTTCAGGGCATGATGATTTGAGAGGACGATGAGTTGAAGAAGAGCACAGTGGTCGGATATGGGTTTCTATTTGGGCCTTAGAAATTAGAACTCGGAAGCGATTTAATCCACAGTTCACGCACCCTTCCTCACCACAGTCGCTACACCCACCCACCTACGAGAGCTCCTTTTGTCAAATCGTCAAAGGGCCGAGGTTTTTCTATTCGGTTACGTTTCAATGGGAAACAGAGCACACTTCTTTGTCAAATATTGCATCAAACCTTTGTTTCTTTGTAACGACCCATTTTTTTTTCAAAGAAAATTTTCATTTTTAATTAATCAAAACCAATCTCATAAATCATAAATTTCCCAAAACATTTGTTTTCAAATCAACATTCATTACATCGTTGTTTTCCTTTTTAAAACATCAGAGGGTCCCAAACACACTAAAAGGGAGATAGAGTGCACGCCACGTCATCACGCCTTGCCCTTGCCCTTGGGCTCAAAAGTACCTGAAACAAATCAACAACCTGTAAGCGAAATGCTTAGTGAGTTCCCCATAGCATACACCACATACAATCCACATAACACATATCATAGTAGCTATAAAGCTACATATACCACATAAATCATGCATACATAAACCTGTAAGAATGCCATGGGCTACCCCATATGGTCTTGACCTAGGACTGCCATGGGCTACCCCACACGGCCTTACATCCAATGCCATGGGCTACCCTACATGGTCTTTACCTAGGAATGCCATGGGCTACCCCCACATGGTCTTATATCCAATGCCACGGGCTCCCCCTGGGGTCTTCCATACCAACATAATACCATATAACATATCAATTCATAAATGAATAGCACACACATAACATGTTCACATAATGGGCCGGCCTTGGTGCCGTAGACCCATAGGTATGGTGAGAAGACTCACCTCCGACCGATGAATACGAATATTGTCCTCCTAATAAACCGCAACCTCCCGAGCTGAATAATAACAATAATAATATAAGTAATGATAAGACCTTAAATTACCCAAGGAAAGGCCCAACCTTCAAACTCTACCCCCAAAGCCCAATTACACTTATCTTGCAAATGGGCCCCAATGTCGAAGTCCAATATCCTTAATGGGCCCCTTGGCCCAATAAGGCCCAACTGATAAGTCCACGGCCCAAACAGATGAAAAGGCCTCTAACTCACAGGATCCAATCGAGCCCAATAACCAAATGAGGCCCAAAGGCCCAAAACAGCTTAGGGCCCAACTGAGCTGCGTACGCCCAGCGTACCACCCTGGTACGCGCGGCGTACTAAAGGTTTAGGGAATACGTGCCGCGTAAGGCTAGTTACGCCCAGCGTACAGCCCTTTTAAGCACTTTTTCCATTAAGTGCTTAATGCTCTAATCCTTCACGTCCAAAAGCTAGATCTAAGTCTGAAAAGATGTCCTAAGGGATAAAGTTGGAAACTTTATGCCCTTGCATGCCTCATACACACCCAACTACTCCATTAAGACCTTTCCAAGGTCTTTTACCCATGCATGAGGTCAAATCGCTCATCAAGCTTCCATTTTTATACTTCTAAATGACTAGGGGACCTCAGATCTGCCTTTCATAACAAATGGGGAGGCTTAGCTCAACAAAAGAGGTCCAAAGTTCACCAAAGGGACAAACCACCAAAACCCATGCTAGATCTAAAGATTAGAAAGGAAAGATGCAAGCTTTTTACCTCCAAGCTTGCTTGACCACCCATTCTTCTTGAAATACCCACTAAAAGGCCACAAATGCACTCTTTAGGGCTCAAGAATGATCTCACAAGGTTTCCAGGAGTATATGGACGTTGTAAGGCAGTGGAGGCTCTCTAGGGTTTAGTCCAAGGGACTTAAAGTTGTTTAAATAGGCCTTAAGTCCGGAAATTTAGGGTTTGCGTCCCTAGTGTGTACGCCCCGCGTAACTCAAGGTACGCCCCGCGTACCTTGATTCCTCCGCGACCATCTCCATGCAGTACGCTAAGCATACACTTAAGTACGCCCAACGTAATTAAGGGACCATTTATGCAAAAATTATCATTCCTTAGGGCTTCAAGACATACCAGAATTTTGGATGTTATAACTCTCCCCCACTTGAACTAGACTTCGTCCTCGAAGTCCGTGGCTATAAACAGTTCGGGGTAATGCTCCCGCATCTCCTCCTCTGGCTCCCAAGTCCATTCGGAGCCCATTCGGTGCTGCCATTGCACCTTTACCAACTTTACTTCCTTGTTCCGAAGTCCCTTCGTCCTCCTGTCTAGAATGGAAATCGGCCTCTCGACATAATTCAGGCCCCCATCCACCTGAATATCATCCAAGGAAATAACCGCAGACTCGTCAGCAACACACTTCCGAAGCTGGGACACGTGAAAGGTGTTGTGAATCTGACTAAGCTCCTCTGGAAGCTCTAAACAATAGGCTACTTTGCCCACTCGGGCTATGATCCTGAACGGGCCTATAAATCGAGGTCCCAACTTTCCCCTCTTACGAAACCTGATGATCCCTTTCCAGGGTGACACCTTCAGCAAAACAAAATCTCCCACCTGAAACTCAAGATCCGATCACCGTCGATCAGCATAACTCTTCTAACAGCTCTGCGCGACCCGCAACCGGTCGCGCACCTGCTGGATCAACCTGGTGGTATTGAGTACCACTTCCATGCTTCCCATCACCCGATGTCCAACCTCGTCCCAGCACACTGGGGTCCTGCACCTCCGACCATATAACATATCGAATGGAGCTCGATCCATACTGGCATGATAACTGTTATTGTACGAGAACTCTGCCAGTGGGAGGTACGTATCCCAACTTCCTACAAAATCCAGCACGCATGCTCGCAGCATGTCTTCCAATGTCTGGATCGTCCTATCACTCTGACCGTCAGTCTGAGGGTGATATGATGTACTGAAGTGCAGTTGAGTACCCAGTTCCTCGTGGAACTTCTTCCAAAACCTAGATGTAAACTGAACATCCCTATCCGAAACCACTGACACCGGCACCCCGTGCCTAGCCACCACTTCTCGAACATAGATGTCTGCCAACTTTTCTGCGGATATACTCTCGGAGATCGGGATGAAGTGGGCACTCTTCGTTAGTCTGTCCACGATAACCCATATGGCATCCACTCCCCTCGACGTCCTCGGTAGCTTCGTGATGAAGTCCATACTGATCTCTTCCCACTTCCATATGGGGATGGGTAACGGCTGAACCTTGTCATGAGGCCGCTGATGCTCGACCTTGACCTTCCTGCAGGTCAAGCACCGTTTCACGAACCAGGCGATCTCTCGCTTCATGCAGGGCCACCAATAACTCAGTCTCAAGTCCCTATACATTTTTGTAGCTCCTGGGTGTATAGAGAACCTGGACTTGTGCGCCTCCTCTAGTAGCCTCTGTCTCACTCCCACCCGCCACCGGTACCCATACTCGACCACATTGCGTCAGAAGGTCGCGGTTATCCTTCACAAACAAAGGATATTGCCCCCGAATCCGCTCGACCTTCCAATTCTCCTTCTTCACCCCCTCGATTTGAGCCACTTTGATCATATCCAACAAAGGAGATGTCACCGTCATCCGCATACAAATGTCCCTAATCGGGGATCCCGCCGTCTTGTGGCTCAATGCATCAGCCACCACGTTGGCTTTCCCTGGGTGGTATAGAATCTCGCAATCATAATCCTTCAGCACATCCAACCACCTCCTTTGCCGCATGTTAAGGTTCTGCTGATCCATCAAATACTTCAGACTCTTGTGATTGGTATAGATAGTGAACCGCACTCCATATAAATAGTGCCTCCAAATCTTGAGGGCAAACACTACCGCCCCCAGCTCCAGATAATGCGTGGGGTAATTTGCCTTGTGAGGCTTCAACTGCCTCGAGGCATAAGCAATCACGTGCCCCCTCTGCATCAACACTGCACCCAACCTTGAAATCGATGCATCATAGTATACCACCAAATCATCCAACCCCTCAGGCAGTACTAGGACTGGAGCCTCGCATAGCCTCCGCCTCAGCGTCTCAAAAGCCATCTGCTGGTCCGCACCCCACCAAAAAGTTACATTTTTCTTGGTCAAGCGGGTCAATGGCATGACAATCTTGGAGAAATCCTGGATAAATCTCCGATAGTAGCCCGCTAAACCCAAGAAACTACGAATCTCTGATGTATTCCTTGGTACTTCCCACCGCATCACAGCCTCCACCTTGGCTGGATCAACCGAAATACCCTCCTGATTGATGACATGCCCCAAGAACTGTACTTCCCGCATCCAGAAATCACACTTGGAGAACTTTGCATAAGGTTTCTCCGCCCTCAGGGTCTCTAATACCTCCCTCAGATGCTGCTCATGCTGCTCTTTGGTCTTAGAATAGACCAGAATATCATCAATAAAAACGATCACCGACTGATCCAGCATCGGTCTGCATACCCTGTTCATGAGATCCATGAACGCTGCGGGGGCATTGGTGAGCCTAAATGGCATCACCACGAACTCATAATGCCCATAACGAGTCCTGAAAGTTGTCTTCGGTATATCCTCATCCCCAATCCTCATCTGATGATACCCGGACCGAAGATCAATCTTGGAGAACCAAGATGCACCATGAAGCTGATCAAATAAATCGTCGATCCTTGGCAAAGGATAGCGGTTTTTCACCGTCAGCTTGTTCAGCTCCCTATAATCAATGCACATCCTGTGCGATCCGTCCTTTTTCACGAAAAGGATCGGTGCTCCCCACGGGGAACTGCTCGGACGAATGAACCCTCGGTCTAGCAGCTCCTACATCTCTGGTGGTTCCAACCGGTAGGGTGCCTTTGTTATCGGAGCGGCACCCGACACCAAGTCAATGCGAAACTCCACCTGCCTCTCCGGAGGCACTCCTGGTAATTCTTCGGGGAAGACGTCCCGAAAATCCTGCACCACCGGCACACTGCCCACATCCGTCACGGTCTCCACCCTCGTATCAGAGACATAAGCCAGAAATCCTGTGCAACCCTGCTGTAAAAACCTCCTAGCCCTCGCTGCCGAACAGAGGGTCGGTCCCTGCAAAGCCCTCTCACCCTGAATAACCAGTTCTCCCCCACTTGGGGTTCGAACCCTGACCAACTGGCGCTCGCAATCGATCATGGCTCCGTGGGCCCCAACCAATCCATCCCGACAATCACTTTCAACCCTCGCAATGGTATCGGAACGAGATCAACAAAGAACCTCTCGCCCAATACATTCAGTACACAATTCTGATATACCCTTGCAGCACTAACGGTGCGGTCGTCTGCAATCTCTACTTCGAGCGGGGAATCCAAAGTCCCCGGCGCGTCTCCGAACTTCTTGCTAAGCGCAAGAGATACGAATGATCGGGTAGCACCCGCATCAAACAAAACATGAGCCAACATACCATTGACCAAAAAGGTCCCAATACAAAACATAATACATACGTATAAGCATTAACAAACATATGGCAAAGAAGGATAAACACATACCAGCCACGACGTCTGGCGCTGCCCGAGCCTCCTCAGTAGTCAGCTAAAAAGCACGGCTCTTCACTGTCGGGGCATCCGCCTTAGCACGACGGCCATCTGTGATCCTCATTGTGGCGGGCGCGGGTGCCACCACTGCTCCTCCTCCTCCCTGCAACCTCGGACAATCGGCCTTTTTATGGCCAGTCTGGTTGCAGTGGAAACATATCAAGCCCTTCTTGGGGCAATCCTTACTCAGGTGGCCCTGCTGGCCACAAGAGTAACATCCTGATATCCCGGCTGTCCGACAAGCCCCACTATGAAACCTCCCGTACTTGGCACAACGGCCCCGACCCTGCTGGCCCCTACCCGAAGAATCAGAGGTCTTAGGCTTCTTAGCATGTGCCCCTGCTGCCTGAACCTGCTCAGTCTTCCGCTTCGTGCGGGACTCCAACTCCATCTCCCTCTCACGGGCCTTCTCCACCATCTCATTCAGGGTTTTGCACCCTGTAAAGCTCACAAACTCGCGGATATCATCCCTTAGCATGGAATGATATCTCGTCCGCCTCATATCCTCATCCGTAGCATACTGTGGGATCAACAACGCTCGCTCCCAAAACTTGGCGGTGATCTCCGCTACAGTCTCGGTGGTTTGCTGAAGGTCATGAAACTCCCTCACAAGTCGTTGCACCTCAATAGGTGTTGCAAACTCCAAATCAAATCGCCGAAAAAACTCGGTCCATGTCATCTCTGCCACACCGGCTGCTCCCACCTGACTAGTCACCTCCTCCCACCAATCTCGGGCTCGGTCTCGTAACATACATGCAGCAAAACTCACTTTTGCCACATCAGGGCAGGAACTCGTTTGCTGGGCGTTCTCCATATCCGCCACCCAGCGCGGCTAACGATGGGGTCCCTGACCCCGAAGAACTCCGACGCTCCACACGCCTTGAACTCCCGGAACGAGGGAGTTCGGTCCCCGAACTGACCCGCAGCAATCTCGACTCTGAATGACCTGAGTCTCTCCTCCATGATCTCCATAATACCTTCCTTGACCGTCCCAAAGATCACTGGGGTAGCGTCAAGGATGCCTTTCGTAACCTCGACTGCAATGACCTCGCGCAACCTCTCATCAATGGGCTCAGAACCACTGCCCGATCCCGATCCAGACCCCGATCCTGATCCCCCTGCCCCAAATCGTGTCATCACCATGTTGAGCTGAAATGTCACAACGATAATAATCAGGATGTCTATATTGGGGATCCTCCCATACCGGTCCTCCTTAGAGTTGTCAGATCTAACATCGATTCGGGTATAGGTCCTGTGCTTTCAGTAGTACGGGCCCAATACTTCCTTCCACACCTACCTGTACCTTTCCCCAAGGCCCTACCTGATAACTCCAGTTCAGCCCACAATAAATCGTATGTCACATATCACCGAATAACCCAAAACCCTGATTATCCTAAGATTTGATCTACCCACATCAAACAGATCAATCATAACAGGTTGCCTTTATGCATGCAAATTATACACAGTTAATGATCAAATAGACTTTCGAATAAAAGATTCTACCCTAGGACCACAACCAAACAAGGAACAGGAAATAAGGCCAAATCGATCATTCTGAGACTATAAGCTCCTAACCGTATACAGTTTTAAAAGCATACACGTAGCAAATTCCATATAATCAACAAAGCTCACATATCAGTATAGCATGGCTAACATATTGGGGAACTACTTACTTGGCTCGGCTGATCACGCGCGTTGCACTCTCATCTTTTCATTTAAAAAAAATCCTTTTTTGTTATCTTTTGAAAACAATTTTTTTACCATTTCCTTAGTTTAAGTCCTGACACACCCGAGGGTGTGACCGAATCTCTCAAACCAAGGCTCTGATACCAACTTGTAACAAGCCATTTTGTTTTCAAAGAAAATTTTCGTTTTTAGTTAATCAAAACCAATATCATAAATCATAAATTTCCCAAAACATTTGTTTTCAAATCAACATTCATTACATCGTTGTTTTCCTTTTTAAAACATCAGAGGGTCCCAACACCCTAAAAGGGAGATAGAGTGCACGTCACGTCATCACGCCTTGCTCTTGCCCTTGGTCTCAGAAGTACCTGAAACAACTCAACAACCTGTAAGCGAAATGCTTAGTGAGTTCCCCAGAGCATACCCCACATACAATCCACATAACACATATCATAGTAGCTATAAAGCTACATATACCACATAAACCATGCATACATAAACCTGTAAGAATGTCATGGGCTACCCCACATGGTCTTGACCTAGGACTGCCATGGGCTACCCCAGATGGCCTTACATCCAATGCCATGGGCTACCCCACATGGTCTTTACCTAGGAATGCCATGGGCTACCCCACATGGTCTTATATCCAATGTCACGGGCTCCCCCCGGGGTCTTCCATACCAACATAATACCACATAACATATCAATTCATAAATGAATAGCACACACATAACATGTTCACATAATGGGCCAACCTTGGTGCCGTAGACCCATAGGTATGGTGAGAAGACTCACCTCCGACCGATGAATACGAATATTTTCCTCCTAATAAACCGCAACCTCCCGAGCTGAATAATAACAATAATAATATAATTAATGATAAGACCTTAAATTACCCAAGGAAAGGCCCAACCTTCAAACTCTACCCCCAAAGCCCAATTACCCTTATCTTGCAAATGGGCCCCAAAGTCCAAGTCCAATATCCTTAATGGGCCCCTTGGCCCAATAAGGCCCAACCGATAAGTCCACGACCCGAACAGATGAGAAGGCCTCTAACTCACAGAATCCAATTGATCCCAACAACCAAATGAGGCCCAAAGGCCCAAAACAGCTTAGGGCCCAACTGAGCTGCGTACGCCCAGCATACCACCCTGGTACGCGCGGCGTACTGAAGGTTTAGGGACTACACGCTGCGTAAGGCTAGTTACGCCCAGCGTACAGACCTTTTAAGCACTTTTTCCATTAAGTGCTTAATGCTCTAATCCTTCACGTCCAAAAGCTAGATCTAAGTCTGAAAAGATGTCCTAAGGCATAAAGTTGGCAACTTTATGCCCTTGCATGCCTCATACACACCCAACTACTCCATTAAGACCTTTCCAAGGTCTTTTACCCATGCATGAGGTCAAATCTCTCATCAAGCTTCCATTTTTATACTTCTAAATGACTAGGGGACCTCAGATCTGCCTTTCATAACAAATGGGGAGGCTTAGCTCAACAAAAGAGGTCCAAAGTTCACCAAAGGGACAAACCACCAAAACCCTAGCTAGATCTAAAGATTAGAAAGGAAAGATGCAGGCTTTTTACCTCCAGAAGCTTTGTAAGATGATTTTGGTGCAGGATCTTGAAGCACCCACTTGATCCAAGCTTGGTTGACCACCCCTTCTTCTTGAAATACCCACTAAAATGATACAAATGCACTCTTTAAGGCTCAAGAATGATCTCACAAGGTTTCCAGGAGTATATGTATGTTCTAAGGCTGTGGAGGCTCTCTAGGGTTTTGTCCAAGGGACTTAAAGTTGTTTAAATAGGCCTCAAGTCCGAAAATTTAGGGTTTGCGTCCCTGGTGCGTTCTCCCCGCGTAACTCAAGGTACGCCCCGCGTACCTTGATTCCTCCGCGACCATCTCTATGCAGTACGCTAAGCGTACACTTAAGTACGCCCAACGTACTTAAGGGACCATTTATGCAAAAATTATCATTCCTTAGGGCTTCAAGACATACCAGAATTTTGGATGTTACATGCCTGCTCCGTTCGGCCGTCCGCTTCTTCACCAGAACTCCTAAACCCTACCACCATCTCCGACCTGTATTGGTCTTGGCCGGTTGTGGATCGTAGTCGACACTTCAAGTATGTCGTGTTATCAAAAATTCTCCCTGCTACTTTGTTGTTTTAATTGGTCAATCACTAACCGACGAGATATTATTTACGCTCAAGTCTGGATTACTTCTTCATCCACCCTTCTAATTTGTTGCCTCCAGGATAGAAACAAGAGAACGAAGCAATCAGCAAGCGGCAGTGGCGGTGGTGGTGTTATTTAGAGTAAGGAACGGAAGGGTTCTGTCCCATACCTCCGATTTGGGTTCCGAAGTGTGGATTTTTAGCAAGATGGATGTCGGCTGCCATCTTCACCGGTTGTTGATGGTTTATCCGGTTTCCACAGACCATCAACTCGCGTTCATATATATATTCTTCCTGCGATTCTTCTTATGATCAGAAGTTGTTAAGTTGCTTCCCTCTCCTGCTGCCGCCTCAAGCTTTCGTTCCTAAACCCCTTGCATCACTTCCAATTGAAGAAAACCTTTCTCCAATTTAAAGGTACATTCCTGCTTGCCTTCGATTTTGAAGGTACGTATGCAGATTTTTGATATTTTTTTCGAATTAAACAAGCATCCATGTGAAAACCTAACTTCTACTCTACTGAAGATGTAATTCAAATTCCAGGGGATTGACATTTTCTACCATCAGTGTCTTGGGCGTGTGCGCTACAAATGGTGAGGCCGACGGCAACCCTGACCAAGGTTATTCAAGGTACAATTTTCCAATTTCATTACTATCACTCTTTTTCTTTTTTGGTTATCAAATCCATCCAACATAGGTTCAATCTTGCAAGTTAGCCTTCGTTTTAGGGTTTCTCTTTTTTCAGCAATTTTGTCCTCATTATCTGATTTTCAAGCTTCATCTATACATATCGTGAGCTTACATGTTTAGATGATTTGATGCATGTGAGCTTACATTTAATTGATATAGGCACTCACATGTCAATCAATTGAACACCTTTTTTTCTTAATGGTTTGGTTTCATAAATATATCATATAAATGTTTTTCACTTGTGCTTTTTTGCAGATATATGTGAGGCTTCTTCTGTAATGGCCAATCAATTCTCTGTAAAGCTCATGCCTTTTTTTATCATTTGTTTCTTATATCTCTTTGTTTCCATCTTTTGAACTCAAGAAAATGGCTTTTAGATTTTATTTGTTTATTCAAAGGTCATCAAGCTAGATTCTTTTGGTTCTAAAGTAAATAACCAACAGAGCACCCATTGATCTTTTCAATCGTGAAGGAAAACCATTAGCAAGCCAAGGGGTTCCTCTTGGTGGGATGGGGTAAGTAAGTTTTTAGCAAACATGGAGTTTGTGGTTCATAATGTGATCATATTGAATGCCCATTTGACCAATTTTTACTTTTTTTTTCAATTTTATAAAAATTAGTAGCCCTCTTGCTGTATAGATATGCTGAAATACACGACAGATCCACCAGGTATATCCCACCGACTTCACTACATCATCTTTTGGTTTTGAAGAAGGGCATCTGGGTTCTCCTTCCATCAAAGTTAGCCAATTTTCTTCATTCTAATTATCTTTCATGTCACTTAAAGGTACTATATATTAACCGATTACCTGCATCTCCAAGTTAAAAATTGGTATAATATAATGATCGATAATGATAATTAGGGGTTCAGAAGCACAAAGATGAAGATGAAGCACCTATAACTACAAACTCGGTTCATCCCGGAGCAATTTCCACTAATATCTTCCGCCATCACAACTTTTTTAGAGGTGACCTAACTACACTTGAATCAGTTTTTTAATATATAATGAATTTATGTATAAATAGTTATTTTTGTGGGTATTGATGTCGGAGCTAATAACGTGTTTGGAAAATTGGTGCTTAAAATTGTGCATCAGTTGATTGTTTGAGAAAATTGAAAGTTAAAAGAGTTGATTTTATATTTTATATGACATGATAATTTGTTGTTATATATATTTTCACAGGGAGCAGCAACTACATTCTACTTGGCATTGTATCCGGGATGAGTAGCAAGTATTTTTGGTGACTGTGCTTCCCGCGCAGCTACACAGCATGTACTCGAATTGTGTCCTCAGATTTGATTTTACGCCCTGTATCTAGATTTGGCATTCCGACTACTCGAACCATCTTTCTCCAAATTGTCAACAATTTCAGGTTTGGGATCTCTGACTCTACAGGCTTCAATAAAAGCAATAACACATATGAGTTTGTAAGCTTCAATTTAAGCAATAACATATATGGTCAACAATTTGATTCAAAATTTGGTTTTAACAGGGTATGTAACCATTTGGAAATCTGTTTGGATGGACATGATATGTCACGTGTTTGTCCGTGTTATCAATCTGCATTTCTTTCATCAAATGTTAGAATCTTTATCATATATTTCTGAAGCTTAACCCTATTATCATACATCAAGGAAAACTAATATACTTTATGTTTATTTATGTGTAATACAGGAATTTTTAGATAAGAACATGTGGTTTAAAGGTGGTTTTATAGAGCTGACAGGGGTTTACTGTCAAATTAAGTGTTCATAAGACTGTTGTTAAAGAAAAAAGGTTTTTTTTCTGAGAAATTACTAGCAGGGTACTTTTCAGAGGTAACTCTTCTTTCTTTTACCATCATTATTAGTTTCATGTATATGTGATCCTTCAATTTGGAAGATTTTATGTACCAATCTACCTTTTTGCAGGAATTTTTGCTAGACTTCTTAATACTTTATCATGAAATTATGTGTTTTTTTGCACAGTAGGCGTTTGATTAAATGCTTGGACCAATACACATACTTCCAATGCAACCAGCTGGCCAAGAAGGATGGAGAATTGTTGCTGCTTTAATGAGTAGACATATTGGTGGAGGTAATGGGCTATAGCATACATTAATTTCCCAATACAAAGCCCCAAGTTGCCTTGGTGGGTATTTTGTTAATCAATTTACAAAATTTCTTCCATTTTGATGTTCACTTTACTTTCTCTTTCTATTACATTCAATTTATAGCTTGGCCACAAGCATCACCTCTGTCACAGCCACAACAGCCACATCAGAAATATCAACCTCCATTGCAGCCCCAACAACAAGAAGGACGGGTAGAACAAAATGTTGGTCCTGTTCAGTCTCCTAATCAGGTTAATAGTGACAATGGTGTAAAGGATGTGGAAACAAAAATAGAAGCAGAAGCAGAAGCAGAAGCTGAGAATGTGGATGAGTCGCCTACATTTTGGACAGCATGTCCTTACTGTATAAGTATCAAAGGGTCTATGCAGAGTGCACTATCTAACCAGATGGGGAGGGTTAAACCCAAATGTTGAATCAAATTGTTGACCAATTGATCAAATAAACAAACAACAGAAAAAATTGTCGCATCCGACCCCCGCAACGTGGGGGTCCCACCTAGTTAGTATTGATCAAGAATTAATTTGGAATTAATTTAATGATCAAAAGAGACTAATTAAATATAAGGGGATTGATTGTGTAAATCATTCATTCTTATATATGTGGGCTTATGATCCATGATTCCTTATGTTTGGTTTAACCCATGTGGTGACCTATGGATACTCCATGGAGGTTAAAACCCATGGAGCATAAGGAATGGGTAAATTCATGAGTTACATGGTGTAACCCTAATAGCCACACTATATAAAGACCCCATTGGTTGGTGAAATCGGCACTAGTGCATACACAAGAGGGCAAGCCGATTTCTAGAGTCCATGTATCTCTTCTGATGGTTATTCCAAATGTTGGTGATGTTGTGTGAACCATTTGAGGTGTCACACTTGGGGCACTAGGCTCTTGAGCTCCATGGAATCAAGCTACATCAAAAATGTATGTATTTTATCTAGTTTTGTTATACTAGTACTTATGATTGTATGCTAGTTAGGGTAATACCTTGGAAACATCAAGTTTGCATGTATAATAGAGAAAACATAGATCCAAGGTATTTAGGGTTGCATGTACACCATAGGAGTGTTAGAATGCTCAAAACCCAACAGTGGTATCAGAGCCTAGACTTGTTTTCAATTATACTTGATGCTGTTTGCTGAAAATGTCGAAAAACTGCTCACTTGACAGTGGACTTGCCGAGTCCATGAAGGAAATCGACGAGTTCATGTGTATCTTCAACCAACTCGCCGAGTCAGTTCATGCACTCGACGAGTTGTTGCTGCTGAGTGTAGATTTTCGAGTTTTGGTGCTGGAATTTGTTTAGAATCATTACTTTTAACTGTTTTGGACTTATAAAACATGTTTTTAAATGTGGTAATGATTATGGTAAACCAATTTCAAAGTTATTATCAAAGTTTCAAGTTTTATATATGTTTATCTGATTCTTGGAAAAATTGTTGATATGGATTGTTCATGCTTATGAGTTTTGGTAGATCATAGGAATCATGTGCAAATTGTTTGTTAGTGTAATTTTTGATCTCAATGACATTGAATGGACTCCATAACTTGTCCTCAAGTTATGGAACACCAAAAGTTTTTGTGTTACCTTGTTTTATGAGTTAATTTAGATTAATGAAAAAGTTATGTGTTAGTTGTTTTCAATCTAAATTGATCTAGAAATAGTTCATAAAATGTGTTTTTGTAACTTGTCCTCAAGATTATATGAAAAGTCACATTTATGACTCTTAAAAACTCATAAAATTGTCATAGGTTACAAAATGAAGAGTCTTTTTGTCATAAATAGTTTTATGAACTCCATAACTTGTCCTCAAGTTATGGATGTTCAAGAGTCTCTTCATTAAAGATTTTCAAAACCTTAATTAAACTCATAAGTTATGAAAATCTAAGAGTTTTGAAAAGTTTCAAAACTTGCCCTCAAGTTTTGGAATTTGTAAAGTTTTGCTTATGAATTCTTTAATTCCAAATCAAACCCTAGAATTTTAAAAGTTTAAAATTTAACCCTTATACTATTATTATAATTTTAATTATATAGATATGTATAAGATAAAGTCAATCTTACCGTTAGTAGGCCTCATTCACAAAGTCAGTCTCTAAGGGGGGTATAAGGTTACTGCCTATAAAATGACAGTTTAATGGGTGTCCACTCTCACCCACCGCTTCCTTGATTGGTGGAGGGTCGTTAGCCGAACGGGTATGAAAGGACTATAATTCTCCCTTCATTAAAAGTGTAATGATAAATACTAAGTAACTAAACACTTATAAATTCCCAATCTTAGTTACTTAGGAAAATTTGAAATGGTGCTAACCCATGAAATTGCACTTTGCACCTTTGTTAAGTCGTTAGCGGAGCGTGTGTGGTTAACCGGCACACTAACTTGGGACTGACAAGGTGTGGCAAAGGGTAACTTAATGTTTATCATAGATTGGTGGAGCGCGTGTGGTTAACCGGCACATCAATTAGGTGATAAAGTTAAGGGTACCAAGTTAATTTGCATGGTTATTCACACCTTGTTTGTGATCCTCGGCATCCCAGTCACAAACTTGAGAGGGCACAATCGAGATTCAAACATGCCATTGAAAGTTCAATGTATCTCAAAAGATCTAGGAGTTTCAAATCCAATTAAAACTTAATTATATTTCGTTTTCATGGTGGAAATTGGTAAATCGTCATTTACCCACCTTCAAATATTTTATAACTTGGATTACGACATCACTCTTCCAGTTATAAATAGTTTGTTGGGTCCTAGTCTTAATATTTCATATTGGGTGTTATATTAAGGACTTTAAATCAACTAACTTGAATTTCTCCCATTATAAATGTCTAGTTTAGATAGCTATGGTCTTCCCAAATCTTTAGGAACAAGCTTTCCTAATGAAGATGATATCCCACATGGCAATCAAGGTGAAAGATTAATCCCTTTGTTGTGCATTAATAGGACTGGATTCAATTTCACTTCTTCCACCTCCTCCAATTATTCTGCCTAACCCACAGGTTCAAGACTTGAAAGTTCTAAGTCACTCAATCCCTATTAGCAAGTCGGGAGAGTCGGGTGTCAAAGTCACGAGGTAGCTGGCTGTTGACTTGGTTCTTCAGTTACTCCCTGATGACAGATCACAATATGACTCTTAGTGATCTTACCTATTTGCTTGATGCTGCTAAATTAGCAATGATTTGGAGCATTGGTAAAGCAAATTATATTGGAAGATCTACTTCCCAAACCTATTTGGACATTGACAATGGTGACATTGGAAGTCCAAAAAAGCTTTCTCTTCCCAATAGAAAGAGATTGGCCATGGTCAAGTCATTTGACCAATGGTAAAGAGAAAGGCTAAGTCTGAGACAATCAAGTGTACCATTTCCAAAAGGTCCATATGTTTCTTTTGCCAATGTAAGGGACATTGGTTGCGAAGCTGCCGAATTTACCTGAAAAGTTCATAAGGATGGTAAAAAGTCAAAAAGTTTGACTTTGCTTCAACTAAAGTCCATTATCTAACTCTATGAAGTCTCTTTTGGAGATTCTTAATACATGATGTAATATAAATTACATTTTGATGTTTTTGGAAGAACCAAAGGAAACCTAAAGAAAGAGTATGCTGATCTGATCGCGAAGATGGATCTCGATCGCATGGTTCGATGATCAGAATTTTGAGTTGCTGCTTAAGAGTTTTGATATATTGCTTAGGAATAGATAACAACATGTTTTTCATATGTATTTTCATTGTAAGGATAATATTTTTCCGCAAGTTTTAAAATAAAAGAAAAGGTTTTGATTTATTTTAAGTATCCTTTAAATGACATTTGTGAAAAATTGTTGTTTATATGTTTCCATTGATAAGCAATATTGGAAAATAGATTTGAGTCTTTCATTTGTGGTAGTGTCATAATTTACCAAATAAGGAAAGATTCTCATCACCCAAGTTTCAGTTGGATAGAAACTTGGAATCATGCAAGTTGTGTTGAATGATGAATGAGAATTCACATGTATGTGTGAGTCGAGTGAAGGACTGAAGGATTGGGTACATTAGGCTGTGCGCTGGTCAGGTCCACCACAAAGGTCGATAAGACTATTCGTCATGATTTACTAAAGTTTAGTAAATATGGTTACACTTACAAGTTTAAGTGTAATTCTGAAACACTGGAACATTTTCAATGATTGGCAAGAACGAACAAGAAGAATCAAATTAGGCAGAAAGATAAAAGTTTCTCCGATCTGAAGAGATGGGAGAGTACTTGAGTATCTCGTTTTATGATTATCTTAGTGATTATGAAACTATATCACAATTGATCCTCTAAGGTCACCTTAGTGCATTTTTTTGGTTAAGGAGAGGAATCATGAATTGTTGAAATGGTTAAATCAAAAGATAAATCATACTTCGTTCCAAAATCAAGTCTTAGAGTCATACTCCAAGATTGTAACTTGAGTGACATAATCTTTAGAAGGTTTATAACACTTATCAAATTTAGAGTAACATGTTTCTTACTCTTGTACATTTGAAATTGGTAAGTTGTGATGTTTTGGATAAAACAAAGACCAACTAAGACCAATTGTGTGAAGTGTTTAACTTGATAAGAATCTGCACTAACTCTTGAATATTTGTTTTGTCAAGAAATGATTCTTATCAAAGGGAATCTTATATGTCAAGAGGTCAGTGGGAGTCTTAAAAGATATTGAGATAGTTTCAAGAACTAATCAACAATATTGTTAATCACTAGCCCACGACTTGAGGTTTGTAACCTATCGTGTTGACACATCCTTATTTCTATGCCTATTCCAGTTAAAGTTGACTATTCTTGTGAGTTTTATGAGTTCTCAATTGTTTTCATAACAATGTGGAAGCAATGGTAGGCCCTTGAGCTGCCAAGTGGCAAGAAATTAAGATTGAACAAGTTCAGTCCATATGAGTTTGGGTTTGTCACTAACCCTGTCTTGTGATTATGTTTTTGCCAAATTCACATGGATAGGAATACATACACCATAAAAATCTAAGTTTCATAAGGTTTCTCTCCGATTCATGAAAAATGATGGTGAGGAAACGCTTTCACTAAGTAGATTTTAAGTAGATAGCAATTGTGATATTTTGTCACACCCCGACACCGATGGCGGAAACGTTCCAAGGCGGAGGACGTCATGTGTAATATCACAACCAATGAATAACAACAATCATAGCAACACAACCATTACAGTGAATACTTAAATAAAAATGTTTACATCAGTTTGAAACTTTGTCTGAAACTTAGTTTGAATTACATCCAATGGCTTTGTATAGTATAAACATAAAACTCTTATTGCTCCAGTTCCTCGAAAATCCAGCAAGTACCTGTCTACTGATTTCATGAGAATACAAGCAGTTTGAAAGAGTATCAGCATAAAGCTGGTGAGTTCATAAGCGGTGGTTTGTAGTGAAAATCGTTGATGAGTTCTTAAAATGTTTGTATAGTTCCAAGAAAATCCG